TCGAACATGACGAGAAACGAAATCTGACTGAAAGTGTCCGCTTAAACTGTGAGTGGCCTCAAGCGAAAAAGTGGAAGAGGTGGAAAAGGTATCGGAGATAGGCAACACCAGGAAACTATTTAGACTCATTATGAACACAGGCTGCTACAAAACAACGGTACACGAGACGATATCCAAGAAGGACGGAACAATTCAACTGGCCAATAGCCGTACTAAATGTGCCCAGTATCCAACGCCTAATTGAATCGGATACAGACATATTAATCCTTCAGATGTTACAGGTTGCTAAAACCGTCTCTAACTTAAAATGAGACAGAGCAGCAGGACATTAGGGTATTATTCCAGAGGTGCTCAAGAGTGGTTGTGATGAACTATTTACCAGGTTAATTACGATATTGGGTAGTTTGTAGGTATTCGAGATAGTCCTGTTGGACTAGTACAGATTATTGCAGTTTATAAGAAGAGAAATGAGTCTTTTGTGATAATTGTGGGGTGATTAGCTTGAATGACATAGTCTACAGAAGCTTATGCACCCTAGAAGAATTTCGGATACTGAGGGGTCCTCGGGAGAAACACGGCGGCTCAGGACGACGGTGTAGCCACCACATCTTCTTATTTCGACGGATCCTGCAGAAGGAACATTTACCAACGTCCAACACTTCACGTATTTCTTGACTTGCAGGCTGTGTTTGACTGTATCGACCGAGAGTTACTGTATCATTCATTGCCAGGCTGTGAAGAGAAGAGTATGTCACACTAATTCAGGAATTATGCTCGTACTCAACCAGCATCGTAAGAGCTTGTGGAGATTTTTCATCTGAGATGGGATAACAACCAGTTATGTCAATCAGCGGTACCCAATATCTCTGTTTCTGTTTGATCTTAGCATTGATATACCAGTGGATTTGATTCTAATCAGTTTAAGATACTTAGGAATTGACTTTTTAGCAGGAGACAGTCTCAGTGATTTAGAGTATGTAGGTGATAAAGTACTCCTAGGTGAAGATACTGAAAGAATTTTGAGTCTTCTTAACACCTAGAATTTTTGCACTTGTAGATTATTTATTTGAATCTTAATCTTGATTTTTGGTGTTGAGTGGTGTTTTTGCTCAGGTCTTCACCCCTCTTTTTTATCCTGAGTTCTTATGCTGTTGCTTTTTTTGGGATAGTAATTTGAATGTTTTTTTGGGTCCTGAATGTGTGACCGTTGAGAAATGCACTCAGAGATTGAACAGTTTTTTGGCAGTTTGTGACTTGCTTCATCGTTTTCAGAGTGGTTGTTATGGGAAATGATCTACGAATGTGTGTTATACCCTATTTACCCATATTCTTCTATATCTCTCCCATACTTGGTCATTAATTTCGGAATACTTGAAATGTCCTAATGTCTTTCGTCATAGATGTTTACGTTCTATCTGCCCTACTAAAGCTAGGTGTTGATTGTGAGGTCGAGAGAGCAAATTATTCGATGTGATTTTGAAGCTAAGCCGATTGAGGACATTCCAACCCATTATTCTCCTCAACTATCAGTGTTAACTGTTATACGATCGGCTTTAGAATGTGTTGTGAGTGGAACCGAACCAGGGTGACCTAAGTCTGTCTGTCTGTTTCAGATCAGTGACAGCTTTAGAGACCTCATTTAGGGAAGGAGGACCTGTGTCTATATTCCATTCAGGGAGGTGTTGGATGTTCGGAAGGTTGAGCGTGGCTGTGGGCCAATTAAACTGCTCCTCATAGTGCTCTTTCCAGCGTTCCAGTCGTCTATCCTGGGAGCTAATTATAGTGCCATTTTTCTCCGAGATTGTTCCACTTATGTTTAACCTTTTCCCACCCGTTTCCCTGATGAGTCTAAAGAGTTGCCTATCGCCGAAGCTTTTTCCATCTCTTTCGCCTTTGTCACCCACCACTGTTCACGGTCCTTGCGGAGACTTTTCGTAAGTTTCCTCTTGTGCAGCTTTCGCTCCTCATTGAATTCGGAGCTCGCCGGAATAAGTCTTCTAGCATCTATCAGTTCGGATGAGGCGGTAGAGATCCAGTGGTTTTTACTCACCTTTGGATTTACCTTATTCACAGCTTTTACAGCTGTATCTATGGCTGACTGAATATTCTTCCAAGCTTCTTCAGGGTGAGCACAGCTGTCGAACTCAGATATGTGTTTAGCTAGTTCTTCCTCAAATAGAGATTTAGTTTCCTGATCGAGCTGGGGACGTGATGGTTTTACCGCCAGCTGTTTCCTACGTCCGTTCAGTCGTAAGCACACCCGAGCGCGGACCAGTGCGTGATCGGTATCTACACACGTGTTCCAGAAGGAGCGACAATCTCCTACCGACCCACGCCAACGATAGCTTATTGCTATGTGGTCTATTTGTGTCCAGCGTTGGTTTGATGAAGGGGGTCGCCAGGTCAAACAGTGTCTCTCCTTGTGTTTGAAGTTAGTGCTTACAAGAAACAAATGATTATCTGAACAGAACTGTAGGAGACGGTCACCGTTGTCGGTTCGCTGGCACGGAACTCCATAGGTGCCACCGACATCCTTCTCAGATTGACACAATTTCCCTACTTGAGCATGAAAGTCACCAGCTAGAACGACTATATCTGAGCGTTTAGCCTTTCGCACCAAACTAGACAGCTTTTGGTAGAACTCATCCTTCGTTTCATCCGAACTGCAGTCAGTGGGGGCGTAGGCGGAGATTACGAAAAGGCATCGGCGAGTAGTGCAGTCCTTCCTCCTTCTTACTGATCCGTTCAGGCGGACAGCACACATTCGGCTATCTACCGGGATCCAGTCAAGCAATGTCTTTTCTGCCCTAGTACTCAAAGCTATCCCTACACCAGCTAATCCTCGTGAACTAGCTGTGGCATCTCCTGACACCCTCAAGGTGAATTTTGCAGATTCAACCTGTTGGCCAGGTGGGGTTAGGTGAATAACCACACTTGGGTCTTGTATGCGTGTTTCTGAAACACAACATACATCAATGGCTCGGGATGCCAGGGTCTTGGCTAGTGATGCTTGTTGTCCTATTTGGCAAAGTGTCCTAACATTAAATGCTCCTATATGAAATTGGTCGCGTGGCTTTAGGAGGCTATCGGTGGTGGTTTTTTGGCTTCCATCGTTTTTAGTGGACACAGAGTGAAGAGGAAGTGAGGAGCTATCAAGTAGAGGAGTTGCATCAGTGGAAGGAAGGCAAGATGATAGAGATGAAGATGAAGACAAAGATGAGTGAGTAATAGAGAGGTTTCGTGTGCATTTCGGATTGTGAGGGCGATTGTTACTTCCCGGCTGCCCACACCGTGGAAGTTGGTTGCGTGACCGCAGAGCCCAGGGGACAACTGCTTGAGGCCGGTCACACGCGGCCTGTTTTTGTTCGTTCTTTTTTGTTTGGTGTGTCTCAGTAGCATACTTATCACTCCTGCCCTGTGACACGGCAGCAGGAAGCGCGGTCGTTGTTAATCCGGGCCACGGCCGATCCGGCATGATATTTTGTAAGTTTTTATGAATCATAGTGTTGGAATGGGTAGCTGCTTTTTGTTTAACCGCTATCCAAACAACCTGCGGTTAAACAAAAAGGAGCTACCCATTCCAACACTATGATTCATTAAAACTTACAAAATATCATGCCGGATCGGCCGTGGCCCGGATTAATAAAGACCTAAGAGGTTGTTTTGACCCAAGTAGAGGTTTAGACTGTCCAATGACCCATGAATTATAACTTCTCTTTGTTTGTAAAATAGTGCCGCCACCATCCAGTGTAATCGTTGATTGTCTGCTCCACATTCGTAATGAAATCTTGGCACGAGGATTCTAGCAGGTTTATCCCTTAGTTGTTCACTTATGTGCAAAGTTATTTAAGCCTCATAAATTAAGCAACCTATGCACAGCTTCTATAGCCATATGTGGCTGAATATAGGGTTTTAGTTTGTCTGGAATAATAATTAATCAGGCGTTTATATTAACTATGCATAGGCTGTTACTTCAAACAGCTACAAGTTTTGCTTTTACTCCATCAATGTCTTTTTTTAGCAAGGTCGTGCCAGATAATCAGTCAGTTATTTTCCACCATTGAGACTGTCGTGTTCTATTTTTATCATATTAATGAAATTTTTATAGCATAAACCAAGTATCACCTGGTGCATAACTACAAATTATGCGTAAAAGTACTACATGAACGTATTTCAACAGGTACTAACAAAATTTGCTTCTGAGCCTTCCATCTTTTCACTGAACACAAAAAGAAGCAAGCTGATTGCACGAACAAGTCTCATTATTCTCTTAGGAGTAAGCTTAGTTTGTACCAGATGTGCGTCACATACAAACTTTACCTGGCGAAAATTCTAATATAAGACTATGGAATATCAGATCGATGAATACTGATACTTGACTTAGAAAAACTATATAAACTTAACATTCCAATCAACATTTCATGTAAGTCTACAAATACTGGTGGAATAATTACACTTTATAGACTTATTCAGATAATACTGGAAATAACACCGATGACCTAGGAACCCTGGGTCTCGTAGATAAGACACTGAAATCAAAGAAATAAGTGACAGACCAATTATTCCGTATCAAGTCCTGAAGAACCCACCTAATCGTCTCATTTCTCTTCAACCTCACAATATTACTCAATAACTTGTTGTAACTATTAAATTCAATTTAGATTTCCCCTTCGATTAATTGAGTTTAAGCCTCGGTGGGAACCCCATCACTTACTGGGGGATGCAGGTACATCCAGATGATGAGTCCCAAATGGGATGAAATGCGCATCCTAGATTCCATTGTTAGTCACCATCCACCAATTGACTTCAACTCGTTATGACGTTTAATTTAGGGTTTAATCGTCATGTTCGTTTCATTCACCAGCTAAAAAAAACAACGATTTTCGACTCACTCCTAATTTAAAAATATCTTTCCTGTATGAATGACTATAGAACATTTCCTTTGAATGTAGAATATCTTAGTAATCAAGATAACGATGGAGAAATTTGTAAGCAATATATATATATATATATATATATATAATTGAAAAGCGTCTCAGTATCTTTCAATACTCTTTGCATGCAATTTATATCAATATTTTGTTTTGTACTAACAAGTGAGTTCACAGTGAATCAGAAATAGAGGTATCAACCATGCTATATATCAATAGTGGAAAAAAATATGATTCAAAAATAAATGGTGTTTTAATAAAAATGTGTATGTGTGTAACTACTAAATAATGAAAAATAAATAATTATGAAATCTATGTATATATATAAATAAGAATGTCTCAGAGTGATATGCATACTGGGAAGTAAGATAAAAAAAATTAGTAGGCAAAATATGGTGGTAACAAGAAAAAGAAGTAGTAGTTGTTGTATTATTGCGGGGAAGCAGAGATTATTTTCAAAGACGGTCAAAGAGATATGCTATTTTACTATTGCAGCAAATATGAATTTGTTGTCTGTCTGTCTGCGTAAATGAATGTCAACAAGTTGTATGTATTAAAGCAGCAACACGTTCACCTTCGATTGCATATTGATTGTATAATTTAAATGCTTTTTTACTGCTTTCAACAATCACTTTAACATTGGAATTCGTTTGACTGATGTAATCAATTAACATTTGTGGTACTTTCAGTTGACATAGAACACCTCTACTTAATATAATAATATTAGGATTATGATGAAGTAATTCATCGACATCTGCATTTTGTATTCCACTAAAGTGACCAGTACCTGTTTCATTCCAATCCCATGCACGACTTCCTTTTGGCCAGAGTTTTGCATCTCTATATGTAACTAATTTATTAGGATTGATAGTACCATCTTCGGATACTGTTTCCACTGTAATAGAGCCCCATGACATTTTTTTAATTAAAGGAGAACACTGAGACATTAGATATAGGCTGTTGGTTGGACGTTCCACAGTTAACTGAAAATGTTACAGACAAGAAGTACATTGAAAAGACAGACAAAATAATCACAGCAAAATAAAAATAATAGTAATAAGCAATTCTGGTCAGCAATTGATAAACTCAACAATTGAAACATAATTTACAGTAATGCAAAAGTGGATAACAGTTAAAATTGTACTGTTGTAATATGAAGCAAGAGTAGATAGCAGTTAAAGCTGAACAGAAAACCTTGGTTGCTAAAGCATTCTTACCAAAAACTTCCACTTTATCTACTGGAAACTTTACTACCTCATATAGATTAGATTTCTACTTAACTCCAGCCATAAAGGGTTTCATCAAACTGTCACGAGGATCACATAATGATACCCATCTCCAGATGCTATACTTCTCATACACAATAATACAATGTAATAAAATATGAGCACTTAAGCCAATAAAAAGTGGACTTTACCGGCTGAACGATGGTGAATCAAGCACCTGGTCGTGCTATTTTCCATTTGCAACTGACTTTAATAGCGCCTTAGTTAGATGAAATAAGATTATGCACTGAAATGAAACATGATGCTAAAACCTCATAACGAAAAGTAGACTTGCCCTATTCAGGTAGGTAGTCACCTGGGGTTCTAGTGAGAAGTCGTGACCAGTAGGGTTCAGCCGGTCGGGTGTGAGGACAAATATTCGTCGAAGACATTGGCTAGGAGTCGCGCTATGTCGTGAATTGAAAGAAGTTAGAATTCATGGGCCATTGGATCGGGTCCCAGTGGCTTAGTGGTATGCGAGCTCGCCTTGTAATCAGAAGGTCCTGGGTTCGAATCCCGGCGGGTACGTACTTCTGAAGAGCCCCAAACTAGGACGAAACAGGTGCCCCAGGTTTTCCAATGGTTCTCTAACTAATGTTAGCTCATGATGAAATCCTGTAACGAAAAACAGAACAGTGTTTTCAATAAATACTTCTTCAGGCTCTACAATTATTGATCCATTAATCAAGGCATACAATAACCAGTAAAGACAAATTAGAATCATATCAGGTTTAAGCAATTCTTTTCTAACTTGAAATCACATTTACAAAATCTTGTTCATTTCGCTTCAGTAAATTCATTATTATTTGATAATCATTCACCAATAGTACTCATCAGTTTACACCGCATCATCGTTATTATTTCATAATCATTATTATTGTCGTTATTTTCACCCTTGAACTTAGGTCTGGTGTGGCAACTCGAACTACTGCACATCTGTGCAAAGTTCTACGTTAAACCCATTCAGTCATGTAAAGTCTAACAGAACTGTTTAAGTTTCTCAGTTGAAGCAGATGAGAGTGGAATGTATGTCAGAAGGTTTAGACGCATGACTAAGAAGCAGAAAGTGAAGTATTGAAAATTATTTTTCCAACTTAATATCAAATTAACAAAGTTATTTATCTCACTTACCTTATAAAATCTAATATACACAACCGATGCAAATAATGTAATGCCACCGACAACCAGGACGAGATACTATAAAGGACAAAGTGTTGAATATGAATTGTTCATATATAATATTTTTGAGTGGTAAACAATAGTTCTGGTGATTATTTAAAACTGTTAACCTGATTTTGGTAATGATACAGTACAACATAAAGTGTAATGTGCATTGTTGTGGGCATCAGCTTTGTTTGAGTATTCGTACTATCTCACTCTCTCTCTCTCTCTCTTTTGATCAATAAACACTTATACAGAATGTATGAATTTCTTAATTTTCATATATCTTATCCATGCTTAATAATATTTGTTGAATTTTATGGTTAGTGGGTAGTAGGCGACAGTTACCAGCAACTCACGAACATAAGTTCCATGATTCTTAACACACATCAGCAAAGTGTCACTTGTGCTGACAGGACTTATGTCTTACCTGAAAACTCTGCCTACATCATTCGATGTTCCATACCAGCAACCTTCCAACCAAAATATTGAGGTGCCAAAGATGAAAATGAACTATGATACTGAAAAACTATTCGCAGAAATATTTCGTACATACCGATGCTTATTTACTGAAAAAATTAACAGATTACACTGAAAAAATAAAGCAAATGACAGTGTTACAATTCTATGAGAAAAGGGATATGTTAATTTCCTAATATTTGCGCTTAACCTTTTAGCCATATAGGTCTGAACAGAATGTCAAGACCACTAGTGGTGATGAAAAATAAACACCTAGATAACGTATCCATATTATGAAAACACTGTTTTGTCGATTTTTATGCGAATAATAATGCTAACGTGAACATGAGGCTTTGGGAACTGTGGGGTGCGTACGACATAGAGGTGTTATCAAAGCATGAGTCGGTTATTTTACATTTTATCTTAATTTCTGTAGTTGCTAGATGTGAAAATATAGTGCTTCAGCCAGTGCGTCACAAGTCGAAGTACCATCCCACCTACTTCAGGCTGGGAAGCTGGATACCATCGACATCCTTCACACAATAAGTGTGATTCTTAGCCTGGTACATGAAACATTTGTTGCGGGCGACTAAGTCCAAACAATACAAACAGTAGTCAGATACTTTCAGGATGATGACAGAAATGTATCAGTCACATCTGCTATTCGGCTGGTAGGTTAAGAAAGACAGAAATGTATCTGGTACTCGATGATTCTAAATGATAGACGATTAATACTTTCTAGCCAGTCTTAGAGACATGTACTTGAAACATTAGTAAATAGTAGCCTATGCCTATACAGAATACAGTCTTATGTAAAATGAATCACGCTCTATGCATGCTAACGACGAAATACCTGAATTTAGCACATAAAAATGAAGCGAGACTGAAAATACAAATTTAAAATCAGTACTTATACGTACGCAACACACTATTGAAAGCGTTAAACTATAGGAGTTAAGTATAAGCCACTGAACAACAGGGATCTTATCTCAAAACTATGTAGATCACCGATGTGTTGACAGTGTATACACTATATGTTACGTTAGCACATACTTTTTTCGTTTAGTTATCTCTAAATAAAAAGTAAAATTCTCTTTAGTGTCAACATTAAGATTAACTGATTAGTCAGTAATCTTCAAAACTGTTGATTCCAGCCTATCAATAAACTTTGGTACATAACTCATTGTTTTGTTTATCCGGTTATGGTAGTGCTTTTTGTACCCTGATTTACTTTAAACGAGGACTACTGAACAAAACTGAATTTTCCAGAGTTATACATCAGCCCCAAGGTAACAGATCAACACCCACCCGAACAATGACATTGGTGTATAAACATTTGAATTTTCATCTTGTTGTCTTTTTTAATAGATGAATGTTATACGAAGAAACATCATTCCGCAGTGAAAGTTAAGTGTAGTTTTGACTGTCATGTTTAAAATTCAATCTTCCACGTTTAAATAGAAAAAAATATAGCTTTAGATACCTGTTTATATATATATATATATATATATATATATATATATATATATATATATAATAAATCATTTGTTTTATCGACCACATTGTATATTCTTGCTACATACTAACTATCGAAGTTGCTAAAATTGAATTATTTATACTACTTACAGCACAGAATTTTCATAAGTCTAAGAAATATCAGTACAAACAGTGAAATAGAAATCGGTAACCAGTGCGTATGTTTATATTATCTAAATTATTTACAATGAAAAAAAAATGGATTTAACATATACATATAAAATAAATTCTATAATTTCTAACAACAGTTTAATTTCGTGTCAAAATAACTAAATGTCCAATGCGTTTATCTAATTCATTGTCTGTCAGTTGAACACGATTTGATTCATTAATTATACAACTTATAAATTGTAAGTGTAAATACTCTGAAGGTGATTTCATCTTTACAGACCAATTGTAATCTGTTTCAGATTGATAGGCTAAATTGACAAAATTCATTAAACTGTCACCTCGTAAAGGTGCAATAGCTAGAAATATTGATCCAGAGCGTAAAGACAACAGTTTGTGAATTGTATTTAGCATACTTTTATGGTATGCTTGATTAAAGAAACAATCAGCTGCTATAATCAAGTGAAACTGGTGTATTAATGATTCTGTTAGCTCAGCAACAGGTGGTGATTCGCAGCACTGAAAAATAAATAAGCGAAATAAAAATAAGAATTAAGTAAACTGGTCAGAAGAATACGTAATTTTAATACACTGAAACGTAATTGACGTTCTCTAGGCCGATGTCAGTCTAAAACAGACTAGATAGATAGTAAAGAGTAAAGACTAAACTATGAGCTAAATAACTTAGTGGTCATGTTCACATGTTGCTGGCTCGATCACATTTGGAAGACAGCACGGCTTTCCACAACGTAGCTGCTAACAAGCACAAACGCTAGAATTGATATAAGAATAGAACTTCAGCACTGTGGTACAGTATAATTCCATTATGGGTAAAATTTATTTTAATAAAGTCACACAGAGTTATACAGTAATATTTACTGATGACGTTTCGAGCACAATTTATTGCCACTCATAATCACATCAAGGTACTCATACAACTTTCTTGCTTCGTTTATGTGCGTGAGTAAAAAATTGACTCGACATGGGAATGCATAAATAATAATCATTATAAAGTTCAATAGACATGCGTGAAACAGAAAGGAAGGCAAAATACATTCAGAAAAAATATTATCAATAGAATATAATACGATGGGAAAATTAAGACGAGTGTTGTTAGTCAATAAGATGGGAAATAAGATGTTTTTATGGTAAAATAAATAAATAGTTAAAGTGTTGTAATGTGAATGTGTTAATGCATGCAGTGCGATTGCTGACTTTTCATCGTGGGATTAATCATTCTAACCTTAGCTAAATTCTTATGTTCTGGTAATCTCACTGATATACTAGTTTGACCTATGTAGTTGACCTAACTCACAGTCATTGCAAGGTATTTTGTAAGTATTATTTTGTTTAATTGGTCAATAAGGTCCTTTAACCTACAGAAGTTGTCTCTAAGTGAGCAATGCATGAACACACACCAAACAATACGGTGGGACAGAGTCACAATTTTAAACAGTAGTATATGCAGGTGGAGAGAGAGATTAATTACTGAATCTTGGTTCATCGAGTCTACACCCAACACAACATATGCGATAGAAGTGAATGAACGGAAATACCAGTTAAATCAGAGGATAATAAATAATGTTGAAATGTATTTCAGTTCACATTATAACACTTTAACTATTTATTTATTTTACCATAAAAACATCTTATTTCCCATCTTATTGACTAACAACACTCGTCTTAATTTTCCCATCGTATTATATTCTATTGATAATATTTTTTCTGAATGTATTTTGCCTTCCTTTCTGTTTCACGCATGTCTATTGAACTTTATAATGATTATTATTTATGCATTCCCATGTCGAGTCAATTTTTTTACTCACGCACATAAACGAAGCAAGAAAGTTGTATGAGTACCTTGATGTGATTATGAGTGGCAATAAATTGTGCTCGAAACGTCATCAGTAAATATTACTGTATAACTCTGTGTGACTTTATTAAAATAAATTTTATCCATAATGGACAAAAACTAGAACCCTGAATTCTTGCTAACTATTGGCAAAATACGAAATATCAAAGAAAAAGTTTCCAGGTATTGGAGAATTTAAAGATAAATAAAACAGTAGGACTAGATCATAATCATCTTTTAGTCATAATCATTTTTTTTCAGTCAGTCAGTCACAGCTGAACCAGGTCATTGAGAAACTTTCTGACTGAGATTTTAAACAAGGTTTATCTGAGATGTAGTCAAGGAATTAGTTTACTCGAATGTCAATAAGCAATAGTTCTGAATACACAACGAATCCATTACTTCAGTATTACGACACATAAGTGATCAACTGACCAGCTCCTAGATATAGAAATGTAGGACACACACAAACTACATTAAACTTACTTATCAGAAATAAACGCTATTTTACCTGGTTTTCTTGATTAACAAACAAAATCCAGTTGCCATAAGTGGTTTATGTATTAGTTCAATGAGCTTATGGGATAAATCTACCGGTGTAATATTGGGCTACCCATCGATAATGATCAACATGATGCAGTCATTGAATCTTGGTAACAACAAGACGCTGACCAGTTAATCTACACCTGGCAATTTGGTTTAGACCAACAGTTAATCAAATCATTTACGGATGTCATGTTTTAGTCTGTCCCACCAACCTAATCCTACTCCAGCTAATATCGCTTGTGGTGGGAAACATTGACTAAGTTTGTGTGAATATTCATCGACTTGGATAATGGGGATGACTGTTACGCATATGCGTCGGTGGCACAGTGGTTAGGACTCTCGCCGACCATGCACATGGTCCGAGGTTCGATCCCCTGCCGACGCACACCTGATATCTACGGTCGGACTGCAAAATCTGGGCTACCAATATCCATGCTGAAAATTCCATACTTGTACCAAAAATACAGTGTGGAATCAAGCTGTAATCAAAAATAATAATAATAATAAAAATACCCAGACACTGTCTGGCACTGTTAGATAGAGTCAAACCTGGCATCAGCCCATGATTTCAAGGACTATTGATATGAGCTGCTTTGGGAAGTGTAGATTACCTAGACAGCACAGGATTATGTGGATACTAAGAATCCCAAAGTGAAGGCTGAGTGCTGGTGACATGAAACGAAATCGTTCACAGGGGCTTACGTGTGCTTATTTGTTATCATTTTATAGATCCTGAAAACCTAAACTAATATTTCTTAAATTATTTTCACCGATACACCCACCTTTGTCCATTTTAGTCTCATTAAGTTCCTCTTATTTTAGCGTATATGTCTTTTGAATTGTAGCACAATTGTGGTGGTGTGACACAGACAATGTGTTCCAACGGAATATGATTTTCACATATTCCCACAGTTCAACACTGTGTTAGCAACGGATGTATTTGAACTTTATATTTCATGTCGTTTAATGTAAACCAAAATCACACGTCCAATGATTGGTTAGAAAACATAGAACTATATATAGCGGTTTGATCACTTGAAAAGATACCTTGGCTTCTGTGTCTTGCCTTCTGTTGTTACACTATGAGCGCTTCTACGTTGATTTATCATTCAATCCCTCTAAAGGGATGGAGAGAGAAAATGCAGGAAGAAATTAAAAAACAGCGATGACTGGTTCTAAACAGTTGCTTTTTTTACTGATGTCGTTAGCTAAGCATTTTTTTTCTCGAAATGCAACTGAATCTTCCTAACTCAACTTTATCAAAGATGCTGATATAGTTTCTTACAGATGCAAAAGAGAGATTCAGCATACGTTCTTAATACCTGGAAATGGAATTAGGCGGTCAAATTATTGACTAACTAAATAAGTTGTCTGCAAAAATGTTGGGTTACTAATGAAAGCAGGGATTTGTAGTTTGGGCCGCCATATAACATATCTGAAGGCATCAACTGCATAGGTTGACTGACTTTTTAATCACTTGGTGAGGAGTCAGCTTAACACTGTTACATTAGCTGAAACGAATATATGTCAACTATTTATTTAGATAAAAATTTACCGTTACCATAGTAACTTTAACTTACATCTTTTGGCCACCGGATGTTTTTTACATCAATATTGATTTGTGGTATAGAAGATTCGTCAATATTTGATAATCTCCCTTTATGATGATCAACAGTAGACATGATAGAAGAAACACATCGATCATTGCCATCTGTGATCAACACATCAGATATCTGGAATATAGTTGAATATTTACGCATGGAAACAGCTACACCCGCAGCTCCAGTCATACCAGCGCATAATTCGCATACTTTTTGGATAGGATAAAATTTAAAATTCATATATATTTCTTCCCATAGACCAGGGTAAAGATTTTCAAAAAATATACTGTGAGCTAAAAAAATTTCGCTTGGCCATAATTGAACATTGCCTGTATTATCGAAGCCAGTTAAGATATCTAACAATGGATTTGTATGGGTAGAATTTGTCGATTTGGAGTCACTAAAGGTTTTATACAAGTGTAGATGTAAGGACGAGACGACAGTAGGTAAATCAGTGAGATTATCAAATGTTGTGATTACAGGACATGGTGACAGTTCCAACCACAATATGTTTTCATCTGACGCCTGTTAAATGCAGTTAAAAAGAGTAAAATTAGAAAATTAAATAGATGTATGCCATTTTAAATTACTCAAACGTGATTTATGTGAGGCAGATTCGAAATAAGTAATACAAAAATGTTTGGGATATATTTTGTTGTTACATTGCTTGTTGATAGCAAATTACTTATTCTCACTACTATCGCCGCACAGATAACCACATGAGGAAAATTCTATTTGCGGTGAGGATATATGGTCTACCGAGTTGAATTGTATGTGTGTCATTCAGTAACTGGATTACGAGATCCTATTCCCTTCTAACTGTGGAGATTTTTGAAATCACTCAATGTGATGAAGCTTTGCTCTACGACCTGGAGATCATGTTTTATCGGTCCTTCTTTCTACTGGAAACCGAAAACAACAAAATCTTCCGAATAATACAAATATGCTAACAGTAGCAGATAGAATTCAACTGACTTTTGAGCTGGGTGTGCTAGAATGCAAAATAAGAAGGAAACAGGATGGCGGGCTAGCTACTGGTATCTATCGAAACCAATCACAATTTAATAAGTCCTTAGACTTTGACTCATCTCCAACATCAGTAAAGGTAGGTTTAGTTATATATTTATATCATCGACCCAGGGTCCTTGTCAGTAATTCAGAAAATCGAAATGATGAAACCAAACAGATTAGGGAAACATTACCAGTAAATAACTACCCACCAGATTTTATTTAAAAATGTATGAAGACGCATAAGGAGTGTGAGGGTGATTATGTGAATAATACAATCAATAAGTAATTCAATCATTAATAGTGCTGACATAGAAAAAATGAACTTCGGAAACCCTACGTAGGTTTCAATGAGGCTGGAGTAACGTGGCATTTTAGCCAACCAACTCAGAGACGAACTGTCGACTTAAGGACCCAAGAGATCCAATTAAGAGAAGTGATATAATTTGCCGGACGCAATGTAATAACTTTGAGATCAACTGTATAGGCTAAACTGGTAGATCAAGATCAATTAAATTATCGAAACATAAAAATCTAGCCAGACCTAGAATGACTGACCCTACCAAATAAATATAATATAACAACAAATATATAATAATAATATTACATCCTTTAATTCCTAGAGGAACATAGGGCTTCAGCTGCGTCTCCATTGCCTTCGGTTTTCTGCCAACTTTTTCAACCCGCTCCAAGTCTGCCCACATGCTTTTATCTCCTCTCCGCATGACCTCCTCCAAGTCACCCTTGAACTGACGACCAACTCGCCGCCTCCCTTTCGGGTTCCACTCGAGCAATGGCTTGCCTAGTGATGTCACTTGACGGTTTCCTCAGAGTATGGCTCATCCATCTCCATTTCTTTCTGCCTATTTGTTTCACAATCGGTTCCTGGTTGGTTCGCTCCCAGAGATCCCTGTTGTTGATCTTTTCTGGCCATCTGATATTGAGTATTGAGCGAAGACAGCTGTTAATGAAGGTCTGAAGTTTGTTTGAGATGCTCTTTATGACGCGCTGGCCAAGTCTCTGATCCGTATAGTAGCGCTGACTGACTTCACATTGGAGTTGAAAATCCGGATCTTATTTTTGATGCTGAGTGCTGTTGACCTCCACACAGATTTGAGAGTAATGAAAGCTTGTCTTGCTTTTCCGATTCTGGCTTTGATATCCTCGTCAGCTCCACCTGTAGTTGAAACGATGCTTCCCAGGTTGATAGGCAGGTAAAGGAGGTTGTTTCTTTCAGGTTCCTCCCATTTATGCTGGCTGATTGTTGTCTGTTGTCGTTGCTGCGGTTGGTGTTAGCCAGGAATCTTCATCACCTCTGTTTTATCTATGTTAACCTGTAGTCCTATCTTTGATGCTTCTTCTGCCAACTTGTTGCTTTTCACTTGTATATCTTCCAGTTTGTGGGAAATCAGACATACATCATCGTCGAAGTCCAGATCCTCCAAGTTTTTGTGTGAGTCCATTTTATGCCTGTTTCCTCATTTCCCGTTGTCTGTCGCATTATCCAATCTACTGCAATCAGGAGAATCATTGGCGATAGTAAACAGCCTTGCCTTACTCCCGTCCTCACTTGCAATTTAATCAGGCAGTATATTGGGATAACGTAAAAGTATTAAAAAGTGATATAGTTAGGTGGGAAGAGAGATTGATCACTGGATCTTTATTCATCCAATCAACACTAAAGGCGTGAAATCGAAATAGTGCATTGCCTATACCGGATATATGGACTATCACAATAAACAAATACATATAAAGCTAATTATGAAATCCTGTGAACATATTGATATGATTTTAATCAATAAATTGCGGTCGGAACGTCATCCAGTTATCAGTGCTGTGTCATTGTGTTATATCAAATAAACTCATCTAATATGGAATTATATTTTACCATAGTGCCGAAATCCTACACTTGCATGGATTAGAAACTAACAGCTAAATTATAAAATAAATAATATTTTCTAAAGTTGAATTTCATCGGGTGATTGTCTCAAAGAAACTGTTGACAGCACTCGCAGTATTATTTGGCAAGGTAGCGGAATATTAATGAGCATACATATGTGAATAACATACCAAGAATTGTGAAAGCTACAGATTAGTAAACCTGCTTTAGATATCTGTTGCTGATATGCTATGTAGGTCCTCAAACAAGACAGTTGACTTTAGAAAATAAATGATAAGGATGTATATATTTCAGTCCAGCTACTACATTCGATACAATATCAGCAACTTTTTCTTGTACCAATTAAGACTGCTTATGAAAGTCTGGAGCAACACCAACTTTAGTATGTATGCGTCAGAAAAACATCGTGAAAGCTTCGCAGCTAAATCATGCAAGTCAAGAAACACAGCACCAAAAACTTCATGGTTCACTTAGTCACCTGTTTTCTCCGAATCGTAACAATATGCGGCATTTATAAATGTTTATGAATAAAAGCGGTGTTAACATTATCTCGACACATTTCAGCATCATGTCTACTTTCGCCTCTTTATAATGTTCTCTTAGGTTTGATATTTACACTATTTTGAAACCGCAAGTCTTTATAAGCTGGATTGATACATCATTGTACTGAAATAATAGAGAAGATTTGTAGCTCAGGTGGATGATTTGCAATTAATAGTGTTCTCCGAGCTGGCTGGTTTAGTCGTCCAGAAGGACGACGAAAGCTCCGCAACTAAACCAACCAGCTCAGAGAACACTATTAATTGGACATTATTGTACTATTTTGCTTAAATTCTATTCAAGCTTTAGAACGCATCATACTATTTTCAGGCACTACTTCTCTTTAATTACAGATATAATTTTATTTTGACAAGTCACACAGTGCTGTACAGTGATATCAAATAAAGACTTATCAAAATAAAAGCTTATCTATAATGGAGTTAAACTCTACCACAGTGCCCAAGTTTTATACTCTTTAATTACTTCTTTTTTATCCAGTGAGTTAACCCTGTGAAGTGTTGGACGCAACAAATTAGACACAGGGACTTCTTTCATATTTACAAAGAGCAGACTTGCAGTTCAACACACTTTCTCGGATAAAACGACAGTGAGGTGTATTGGTACTAATTTAAGTGTATTTACTAAGGAAAGATTCACTGAAGTACGCCCATTATAGAAAACACCTTGGATGATGTGTATAGCTTTAGCAAATAAATTAACTTGAATATATGGTACATATGTGGCTAGAATATGGGATAACAGTGACATTAAGCGGAAAGTTAAAAGGGGATACACACGGACTCTATGAGTACACAAGTACCGAATTTCATTAAGTGTTCCTCGTCAAATATGACCAAAATCCGATACCAGTGATGCAGATGTTTACTTATTTTTTTCAAAATGAATTCAAAGAACTTTCCCAAAAGATCATCATATTGCGATATAGGGTGTACTTTATTCCATTAGGTACAAATAAACAATTAAATTTACTTCCAAAATTTAATTACATCAACCTAGTAGCCAAGTTTTCCTAAATAAAGTGTAATGTCATTAACCCTAATTCTTTATACCCCTTTTTACAATTTTAAAACCACCGGTACATATTTCACTTTTTGTATAACTTTTATAATAATAATAGCTTTATTCCAAAATAGTACTAGCGATACAGAATGGGATTCTCATTTATGGAGTGGGTCGACAAAAATGGTCGTTAGCACCCATCTGACACAAAAGTGGTTGTATTTGAATGGCTATTATATCATGTGCCATGACAATTCCATCATTAGAGACCTCAACTGGTTACATTAAAAATCCGTCTAAGCAGTATAGATGCATACCTGTGCCTGATATCTATTCAAATTATTAAGAACCATGTCATAATTATTGTCGTATTTTCACTCGTCTCTGCCTTCATCTTCATGCTGACTTCACGTGTTTGCATGTAGTATTATTATATTTCTGTATTTGTCTTATCATTCGTAGCAACTTCGGCTGACGTACTTCAACATAAAAGTCTTCGCTGACTCGTTAGTCAATCAGTTTTCATTTGGTGTCAAGCCCTGAACCGATAATCGTATGACCTTATGACAGACTTGTAAAAGAATAAAGGTGAATTCTACTCGCAACACTATTACAAACCAAAGATACTTATGATTGATGAAACGGAGTACATACAGGATTCTTTTCACATGAGAAAGTGGCTTGTCATCAATTTTACTTCCAAACATATGGTAGTGTTTAATCCCGTTTGGAAAATCCGTGGTTAAGCAGTTGAAAGTCACACACATCGACTTTTATACATTCTTGGTAAACCTTTTGATGCCAGTGAACCAACAGAACAGAATACAGAGGCTGTGCCAAGTGAAATTACTTTCGAGGACTTTATTTTTATTTTTAAGAATCGACATTCCCCTGAGATGACCATAGGCCATGAAAAATCACTGCCTTAGTGTCATACAGACTATAGGATTAATGCATGGGAGTTAAATATTTCAGTAACCGAACGCAGTTATTTCATTTCTCCACTAACTTCCAAGACACAAATATCCCCACACTGCACTCGTCATAGACTAATCTCACTTAAGCACATGCATATTTGATGGTCGATAAGCACTGATCGCAAATTAGCATAACTGACGTATCATGCCTGAAAAAAATGGATGTGAACAAAATTCTCTTTCAAATATTACCTATGGTCTAAAATGTCGCACAATTCACCAAAACAGCTTAGTTTTTAGACATTTCATACAACAGCTAAAGCTGTGACTGACCACGCCGAGACTTAAGCTATTTCAAACAAAGAATGTTGGCGAATTTTGCTACAGGATAAATGTATAGGACGGAATTCTCGCACCTTAAGAAACACTTCTAATACGCAAAAATCAGTGGTCATTAAAGTTCTCTGCAGTTTAGCCTACATTAAATATGAGCTGGTAGTGCAAATACTAATAAAGAATTCATTCGTACGACCAAGGCTTTAAGATATGAAATAGGAGCACTAAAAAAATTTATAACGCATGTAAGAGCTAAATATCAGGATTAAATATGAATCTGACCAGCCATGAAACTCGTTAAGTGATTGAAACTGCATTTTACAATTACGATAATCACCTTTGCAGTTTGTTCTAGCAAGCGTACTTTGAAGAGCCTCATGACTATGGGGTCTAGCCATATGTAGTCCGCATCAACACAATCACAAATGTCCAGACGCCTTTGTTCCCTGTGAACACTCTTGACTGCACTTGCAAGAATACTCCAAAGTTGTGAACTACGATTTTCTTTATTCATCAGAAAAAAACAGTAACAAACGATTCAAAATTTCTGAACCAAACGGAAGCACTGACACGAACGATACTGCTCCAAATTATTCACGGACTGCTACTGCTTCAATTTCTATCTTCCCATTCTAAATTAACGAATTGTATATGAAAACACAACATACTTTTGGCAAGCAAGCCACCTGATATGCGGCTCGAGCAGGGAATGGATCTGTAAAGTCTGAAAGAAATCAAAGCTTAACGTAAGAACATTTACATTGTTCATAAATTGTATTCACCTTCGCAAAATCATTCATGTCAGCTAACAAAACAGTGGTTTTAACGACATTCTGCATAGAAAAGCCGCCCGCCTGAACTATTTCTCTGATATTTTTAAGGGATTGGTGAGCTTGTGACTCGACATCATCACCAGCAAATGCCATCGTCTCAGGAACTAAACCTAACTGCCCTGAGACATACAAAGTGTTGTTTACAGATACAGCTTGGCTACAAAGTAAGAAGACAAGATGGACGAATACTTGTATGGGCCGATTGCTTTGGGTGCTTTAGGAGTATTAATAATCGTACGAACCAGCTTAGACATCATTCACAGCTACTGAAGCACACAAAACTAACCTGTACCGTAGAGCTCAAGAAGCCGCTAGTAATTGTTCAATATACAAGTGTACGAATATGTCTCAAAGGCAAGTATAGACTTAATTTCATCGTTTTTCTTTGCTTATTGATGGTCAGGTTGGTTCTTTGGCGTATATCTACTTTTTCTAACGACCTTCTGTGATACCAGTATCAGACAGATCCATTTATTGTTGCTCGCTTGTTGGTAGTATTGTGAATTACCCTGAACACCCGTCAGCTCCTGAAAGTTCGTCCCTCAGGTGGACTTATCAGTCATTATTATTACATTTGATATGTACCATACAATGAACTAGGGCTGTAGCGGTGTTCCGGTCAGAATAATTCCGGGGTGAATGTATAGATGGATGGTTTTACATGGCCAAAGCTCTAGCGACACATGCACAAAAACATAAATAATGTGTCCATGGTCGTTCTACTAAACCACTTTATCTACCTTGGTCATAGTAATGTTCTTTACATTTTACTCTACTCTGCTACTTCAATTCATTCCACTTTACTTCAATTTCACCGTCTCTAATGTTATAATCATCGTAATACTACTACTTATTTTTAGACAACGTTTAACCTATTAATCAAAAAATCGTCACAATTAGTGAATCACTTAATTATCTATAAGAGTTTCGCAATGCACCCACTTCAACTATACTCCTTAGTACATCATTTTAATTATCTATATTCCTATCATATATATATACATTACATTATACGTTACATTATATTTTACATTATATATATAAGACTGTACAGTTTGAAGATAAAGTCATTGAAAGGAGATATTTCTTCGCTGAGGGAAAACTGTGTTTCTCCGAACAGACAATTAAAACAGAAATATTGACGATATCTAATGGGGTATTATATAAGCTCTGTTTTGATAATTCATAAGTAGGAGTATTCCTGGAATCTAATATATATATATATATATATATATATATATATATATATATATGTCATATATTCACGCAAAACTTGAATATCATGCGCTCCTACGTGGTAAATTAAGGTCATCAGACTGAAGAATTTTCGGAAATGTCCAGAGGCTCCTTAAGAAACGCATAATAGTGTTAGAGTAACAACTGGAATATGCTGACTAGTATATCTGACTGAAATTATTATAATACTTTATATTTGGTATAAGCTGGCGTTCACAGGAAATGCAGGCCATTGTAGCGGTAGGCTGTCCTCTAGAATTATTGGCCACAGCATTCATCACTGAACATCGGATGCTGACCTCGCTTTTTTAAGTCAGTTTGTTTAGCTTTTAATGGTTGACGGTATAGACATTCACGAACAGTACTGAGTATAGTAACGCAAGATCTTATACCAACAACTAACTTATTTGATTCTCGTGTGCCAAAGACAAAGCAAAACACCAACACTGATTGTCCAAATTACGAGATATATTTCGGAACCAAATCGCAGATTGAAGCGGAATCTAAGCTAGCTAGTTATCGTGTACGAAAGCGACGCGACGGAGTACCAAATGGCGGGGATGCTTGATGAGAAGCCTTCAGTCAAACAAGTCGACTTAAACTCTAAGGGCTAGCATCCAATGTTCACTGATGTTTCTTATGGTCACGATGTAATTCTTCTCTTAGTGATAATCTATTCCTATGGTCAATAATTCTGGGGAGTCACTTGCCGCTACAAGCTCAAGGCCTCCGGTCAAGCATCCACACCATTTGTTGCGCCGTATTGTCTCGTTCATTCGTTTGTGCACGATCCCTAGCTTAACATATTTATTTTAGAATAATAAACAACAACTGTCCATTCGCATAGGTGAATGGATAGTTTTTACAATATTGAAGTTGAGTACATACACACAAAAATAAAATACAATAATACAAAATGATCAATAGAAAAATAAGTACAAAATAATGATTCCTAAATAACATAAGTAACCTTCGTAAAGATAAATAAACATATAAACGTAAATTAGTCAACTAAGCTATCAAAAAAATAAGCGTAGAAAAATTAGCACAGCGGCCCATGTTGAACCCAACAATGTGTACTTTTCCTGTAGTAGTGTCAGTTAGAAGTGTTTGTACATATATGTGTAATTGTGATTAATTGTTTATGTCATACGCTGATAGGGCCAATATGCTCTATGCGTGTATGTAGTATAAAAAAATTAGAATATATAGAACAAACAAAGTTATCAGACATTTTAGGAGGTTAATAACAGTATTATCTATTCAATGAGTATATATACATATATATGTTCATGAGTGTCACAATGTGTCTTGTGTGTGAATTATGACAAATGGTGGTAGAGTAAACAGTAGAAAAAAATATTCCTATATGGCAATAAATTCACAATATCACTGGTTCAATTCTTTTCTACGTTCCACGCATGTAAGTATCATAGATTTTCAAAGAACCTTGAATGGTTGAGATGCAGAGGCGTGAAATGTCGAAGGAGGTGAAAAAGAGTCTGCGAAGGTATTTTGCAGAGAGTTGACTGATCATCCCTCGATAAGAGATTACAACAGGAATTTGCATGATTCTTTGAACTGTTTGTCCCATTGTAGACAGAAATCGTTTACATGCGGCAACCATCGTTGGAGCTCCGTATTTTGGCATCTTAGACGCATGACTGATGTAAATGTAGGCATCGTTGCAGACTGTTACGTCGAGAATGTAAGCCGCACCGTCTAACAGGATAAGCATATCTGGTTGACGTGGGCAATCATCTCGCACTCCGATTTAGTCTCGAAATATAACTCGTAATTTGGATGGTCAATTCTGGTGTCTACGCGGAAGGAATTCTGCAGAAATTTTGGTTATTAGATCTTGCTTATAATAATAGTAGATTATAATTTGTATAAACGGGTGTTTACAAGGAACGCATGCCATTTTTACATGCACGATTACTTATGTTATTAATTGCAATCCTGAGGTATCATAAATAAATACTTTTTCAAAGGTTTAAATTGTTCAGTTATTGTATGAGCAACCAGGACATCTTGTAAACTGTAAATTGTAAACCATTTAATAAGGTCATCATCAAAGTTGAGTGACAACCTTAATTTAGTTCCATTTCCTGCTGATATTGTCAGTGCAGTTGAAGACTGAACGATCAATTCACGGTTGTTTGTTCAATACCAACTTCCCCAATTTTCGCCGAGGCATCAATTCGACAGTCATCGTCTCATCGGTCGCTGTTCAGAAAGAAGTCAGCAGTAAACCGTCAGAAGTAACATTGTGATTTATTATTGTAATATTTGTTCACAGACCTTAGTCAAACATTATTTATATGTTGGTGTAACAATAAAGAATCCTCGAGTCAACAATTGATGTTTTAGTTTATTCGTCCATTATTACTAAGCGTTTCTGAGAAACTTCAAGGAACAGCGTGAGGCTGAGCGTAGCAAGAGCTGTGCATTAACGGTTTACGAGACGTTACTGACAGTTTCTGACGGTGAAGTCAGTTTCTGACGGGAGAAACAGATTCTGGCGGATTCAAACAGTTGGTGAAAGTTTGGATAGTCACCGTTCATCCCTCCTGGTGCCGGTCAAGTCCTCTTTGAACAAGCAATATCTGGAACGTTTTTGGAATTGGGTCAAGTTCAACAATGCCTGGGTCAAAGAAGGGACAGAGTATCTTGGATGCAAACAGGAAAGTAAGTCATGGTGACTTGTCTGTTAATTGTAACGATGTGTCTGATGTTAAGCATGACATGGTTGATGTTACTGTTTCGCCGTTCAGGGATAATAGGGACATCAAACTCCCCAAATTTGAACCACGATGTTTTGATGGAAACCCGGCTGATTATTTACAATTTGTAAAGGAGTTTCAGATCATGTTGAGTAGTTTTTTATTAAGTGATGAATTGAAATTGATGTATTTGATGAGGTTGTAGCGGTAAATAATTCCCCAAAATTATTGACCACAGCAATCACTCATTGGATGCTGACCACCACTGTTTAAGTCGACTTGTTTAGCTGAAGGCTTCCGGTCAAGCATCCCCGCCATTTGGTACCCCGTCGTGTCACGTGCACGATCACTAGCTAGCTAAGCGTTCGTCTAACGGCTGGTTTTGGTTCCTAAATACATTTCTTCGTTTGGACGATCAATTATTGGCTTTTGCTTTGTCTTTGGTACGCGAGAATAAATTAATTAGAAGTTGTTGAACGAGATATCACGTCAAACCTTTAATATCCGTCAACCTTTAAACTGGTGAGCCCAACCGCGAACTTCATCCACGAAAAATCCGCAGATAACCCCGGTGAGTTCGTTCCATTTTGTATTTGTTCTTGTACCATATATTATTCGACATAATTTTCGTCATGAGTGATCTTAGTCCCAAGGTCATCCGTATCCGCTCAACTCCTAAAACCATTCAGCTCGTACCATACTGGCCAGATAATGCTGAA